GAAAAACACTTGGGATTATTTGACTTGGAGCGTGGAAATATGTCTGGCAAATGCGAAAGTTTATCCGATTTGAGGGAGTTTTCCGCCGCTCGCTCGGAAAAAGAAACCGTGGAAGGGACAAATTAGCGTAACGGAATTTCGCAAGTTGTTGAGGTAATGGATATTTGAGTGGGAAAAAATTCCGGGTCTGGTTCGTTTCCATTGGGTTACGCAAGTTTGGATGACGGATGCGAGGGCGCCGGAAGCCAGAAAAATGAGAGGAGGAGTCGTTTGTCTTGAGCGTTTTCAATCATTATAATGAAGGTGTCATCCCTCATTGGATGGAGGAATAAATGTAGTGATAATTACGCTGATGAGTAGGGCTAATGTACAGGGGAATCAGATTTCGGGTAAATGCTAATCTGGAATAAACAAAATTCAAATGCAAGAGATAGATTTTTGTTCCTAAGGGAAACTTGGTTTATTTTAGTTTAATTTCTATCGGAATACAGGGTCAGGAAAAATATGAAATTTCATGGAGAGTTGAGGAGTAATTTATACGAGGGTGACATGAACTTTGATTTAGGCAGATGAAAATGTTGAAATTGCACATTTCACTGGAAATTCAAATGAATCTCATATTTTTGGGCAGTGGGAAGATAAGAATTTTGTAATTTACTTAAATTTTCAGTTAAAACGTGAATATTTTGTACGAAATTATGCAGAGCTTTCAATTAATTCGAAATTCAAGAATATAGTCACTTGAATTTTTCTGATTCCTATTAATTTTCATAGAATAATTAAGCTAAAATTTACAGTTTCCATAGATTTTTCCATAAAAATTTGCATTTTCTATGCCAAATTTCATGACAATTCAGTGGAATCATAATGTGTACCGAAAATATCAATCAAAACTTGTGAACAGTGGAATAGTTTTTCCGATACACGAAGGATAATAATTGGTATTATCCTTATTATAATTAATATTACGGAATTTTACGGTTTCTTGTGTAATTTTTACAACAAACGAATCAATAGATTTTCAAGTTGGGTGTGTATTTGAAATTACCAGGACAAAGCACCTGATTTTCTATACTTGAAGTTGAAATTATACCCGACGCTCTTCATAATTCATGAAGACAAAAGCAATTTTCATCACATTTTCATTCTACCGCACGATTACATTCTGTTAGACAAACTCAGCCATTTCTTCAAGATAAATCTTATTAGACGGTGTTGATTCATATTTTCGTGTTAAACATCCGCGAGTGCCTGCAGAAGCCGAACCACCGCCGCGAATTAATATTTCCCTTCAGCACTGCGCGCCACTGTCTCTTGTGCAAAGAGCAATTTTTATTAATATTTACCCCCCCCCCCCAGACTGGTGAGATGAATGCAATAAGTCCCGTCAAAAATGCCGTATATTAGGTAAAAATTGCGCAACAATTTTGGAATTTTTACTAAAGTTGTTGCACGAAGAGATGTTCAGTAAAAATTACGGAACTCACAATTCACTCACCGATTACGGAGTCGACTCAGAAAATTTAAATGACGGTATCGTAATTTTTCACAGGAGATTCAGATAAAAATTACATAACGCTCCGGAAAAATTCCGTGACAGTTCCGTAAAATTTCCTACAACCACATTTCGCTCTGGAATTACGGAAAAGATACGTAATTTTTATTGAATATTTCTCTCTGTGTGTATCTTCTATTTCAGTTTTCCTGTTTTGAGTATAGAAATATTGAAACCCTTACTGAAATTGTTGCATTTTCTATAACAGTTTCAGTAAAAATTCTTGAAAGGTCGTTACGCTGTCCGATTACTAGACTTTAGTGGTCGTTTTCCACGGAAATTGTCTTCTGTGTCATTCTTTACAGCCTCTGAATGTAAGTCATGCGCTCAAGGAGCGACAGTTTTAGTGACTACAAAATCTGGAAGCCTTTCGCGGCCATTTCTTGTATTAACTAAGTCAGTCCAGAATTAAGACAATCTTTCTCTCAGTTTTAGCTGTAATTTTACGCACAGGATCGAATGTCAAATTGATATATTTCGAACGAGTACGTAAAAGTTTGTCTTGACCCGTGGAAGGTGGTGTGCACCCTTCCAAGGATCAAAGAACACTTTTCCCACAAGTGTCAAACCCTATTTATCATCATAACGTGAGGAAACTGGGAGTGGGTAAATTTTCTCTTTACGCACAAGTGATGAAAAAATTGTCTACAAATATTGAAATTTCTACTGGAATAGTAACATTTGTTGTCAAAGTTTCAGTAAAAAATCTTGAAAGGTCATTTCGCTGCACAATTACTAGACTTTAGTGGTAGTTTTTCACGGAAATTGTCTGCTGTGTCATCCTTTACAATCTCTGAATGTAAATTATGCGCCCTAGGAGCGACAGTTTTAATGACTACAAAATCTGAAAGCATTTCGCGGTCATTCCTTGTATTAACTAAGTTAATCCAGAATTAGGGCATTCTTTCTCTGTTTTAACTGTAATTTAACACACGTAATGCATTTCCACACGAGTGCGTAAAAGTGTTTTTTAACCCTCTCAAAGGCCAAAGAATATTTTTCCCACGAGTGTTGAAGGCTATATTTCATCACAATGTGTGGAAATTTCCCTCTACGTTTAAGTGATGAAAAAATTATACAGAAATATTGAAATACTTACTGAAATTGTTGCATTTTTCATCACCGTTTCAGTAAAAAATCTTGAAAGGTCATTACGCTGCACGATTACTAAACTTTAGCGGTAGTTTTCCGCGGAAATTATTTTCTGTGTTATTCTTTACAGCCTCTGAATATAAACCACGTGCTTGAGAAGCGACGGTTTAGTAATTACAAAATCTGAAAGGCTCTCACGGTCATTCCCAACATTGATTAACTCAACCCAGGATTGAGGCATTTTCCTCTCCTTTTCGGCTGTATTTCCACGCACGCGAGGGAATGTCACTCTCGCCTGATTACATGAAAAAACTTTCGAGGGTGAATAATCGACCAGGGTGGGTTCAATCAAGAGCATGGAAACCCTCTCCACCATTTCTGAATATTAAATCAGATAAACTCTCTCATTACCCCAAAAATTACCCCTCAAAAATGTAAGTTCCACTCTAATCCTCCAATCTCCCGAGAAAACACTCGAATCAACATAACCGTAAACGTAGTACTGATCGCCTGTTATTCCACGTGCGAAAGTAAATTGGTAATTGGTGCAAAGGGTTTATTGACCAAGGAATGCATAATGAACTTCCCCCAAATTAGTGAATTCAATTGCAATGACGTTACCCTGATTTCCCTAATGCCATTCAGCCGAGTCTAAACAACGTGCCAACGTTTAGTTATCCCCGGCTGTAACAAGGTATTTTACAACGTTAAAATCCCAGGTATATAACCCTGTAGATGGATACTGCAACCTCTCTAAAACCGTTGGGGAGGCCTTGCTTTGCATACATTTGTTTACCGTGTCGATGCCGCTCTCTCACGTCGTAGCACCCCAGTACTGGGGGCTTTTCGTTTGCCTTCACAACAAACACTCTGGCACGCACGCCCACGCTCGACCCGAAATCGATTCGCGACCGCGGCATGCCTAGAGGGGGGGGGGGGGGACGATGCTCTCGGGATCGCTGGACCAACGGCTGTCGTCAGAGAGAGACGACGAGATGTTGAAAGAGAGAGAGAGCGAGAGAGAGAGAGAGAGGCAACAAAAAAGGGCAGAGAGTGGAAAAATCCAAAGCCCCAACAAAAAGGAAAAAAAACAAGTAGTTGAATAAAAAAGGAACAATCCACTTATATCATCTGACACCCGTCCATCTTGAATTTTGCAGACCATTTGGCTCATGTGGTGCAGAAACGATTGACTCTGAGTAGCATCAAATTGCACGTGTGCGTGAGACTGGCGTACGTCGTATATCGGGTTGAATAGGCACCATCGAAAAGCCCAACCTATCCATGCCACGTCAATCTGCATGAGGCGGATACTTGAGTTTGCCAATCCAGTTGTGTGTGTGTGTGTATGTGTAAAAGCGCATGTGGCCATCATCGACACGATCGGTAGCCGCAAAAGCGCTTGGATTACCGGTTATCACGCATCACCCATGAGCCAAATAACGATGACAGGTGTTGTTGATGTTGCAATTGGTGAGAAGAGTCCAAACTTTCAAGACATACGGTTCGAGTATATCTGGACAAGTTTCACAGAGGGGTGAGAAGTTTTGGGCTTTTGGTAAATGTTGATGCTTCACTATGGCACTCGGTCACGCCAAGGATAAAGGGAGGAATATAAGTTAATGTCTCATGGTAGATGTACCACTGGAATTTCACCGAAAATTCACCCAAGAAATGAGGTTTTTAATTAAGACCCGAGGTTCTTTCAAATGTCTGGTTGACATTGTCATTTGCAAGGATAAATATCCAAAGAAATCCTGTTTGACTTTCAAATTAGCCTGGCTTTGCCGATAAACTCCCATCAGCTTGATTGTTACCCCCGCTGTGTACTGGAGGACAACAGAAACACGAGAGCACCTGGACTGTTGCTTGAAACGACAACGCCTTCAGAGGCATTTGTCGGGAGATTGGGTGGATGGGAGAAGTTGAGACGGTTACCCCAAGATCAAGGAGGGCTAATTTTCAATGAGAGAGAGAGACCTGTCGAGTGCATGCGAATGGAGTAACAGGAAATTATGCGGTATCGCTTTGCTGTGGTCGAGCCCTCATTTGCCTTGTAAGTCAACCTCTCTGCTTCACTTGTCCCTCGCCCCCCAGCTGCTTCAGCCAGCTTTACCCCGCCCAGTTGAAAGGCCAATAACGGATACCTCGTGGCATTGAGGCCAGCAGTGTTCCACCCGGCCCAATGAGTTTGGCGAAACAATTGATAGTAAACGGCAAGCCTGTCAACCAACAGACATGGACCACAGGGAAATCAGGTTACCAACACGATTGGATACATCAACACCCCGACAAGGTCACTAGATCCAATCTAACCTCAATCGAAATAATTGACTTTGAAATGTGTACTTACGCGGCATAGACGAAGGGCGAACGATGTGTGGCAGGTAGAAGGGCAACAGTAGCTGCAAGGAGTGCAAAGCTCCACGAGGCTGCGTGACACCTCATCCTGTCCTCACCTCTGCACCACCACATGAGATGAACGCCGTTGACAACACCCCAATCAGGGTATCCTCTTGATCTATATGAGAAAAAAAAACAACTTCAATGGTGCGATCCTCTGCAATCTTCTTCTTCCTCTCGTACCACTAAAACACTCTCAGCTCCTGGCCTTCCTCACCCCTCCCTCGTTATCTCTATCTTCACTAAAATATTTTCGTCTCGTCCTTATCACTGAGTTCCAACAGTCAGCCACTTCCCAGCCAGGGGAAGTTGGCGTATTACTGACTATTGCCAGATCTACTGGTGATGTCTTCAGCCTTATCAAGTAGACAAACCTTCATATCTCCGCAAAATCCTCACCAAGTTATCACCAAAGCACTTCAACTTAACTTCTCGAGTCACTTGCATTCAACTCAATTGTCACACTGATGAATCTCTCGTATTATCTCGTTCAAGTGAATTCTCATTTCTCTCTGTGGCTGCTGGATTAACCTCGAAAAATTTAACACTCGTGGAGGGGAAATGAGGATGAGATGATCTTTCCGTTGTCTTTCAGGCTTTGCAAGGGAATTTAACGAAAATTGTGAGGGGACTGAGGAGCGGATGGGGTAAAATTTGTTGATTAATTATTTTAAGGACCCACTCTCAGCAGGGCCTCGTTTAGGTCCACTCCTATGAAGCGGAAGCCTGCTTGGCGCCGCCAGTCTGCCGGTCGCTCCTCTTCACTTTGATCCTTCCACTGGACATCTCTCGGACGGTCGCACCCGCGCTACACCGCGCTCGGGAGTGGCGTCCCTCACGGCTGTCCCGGACGGCGCACGGCGCAGTCGCATTTAGCGCCGTTATTACAAAATTCTCCCCCTCCCTTTCACCTTCTGAACTACCCCCCTGCCCCTCTTTTCACTCTTCCACTCGTCTGTCTCACTCACACAACCAGTCCCTCTTTCATCCACAAGCCCCTCTTATCGTCATTCTGCCCTCTCCACCCGCGCTTCTTCATCCCTCCGTTGGCCGCGTCGGCGCTGCCAACGTGCACACACACACAAAACTTGCCTACTTACCCTCTGGTGTATATTCTGGTGAGAAAGGGAGAGGTCGGAGGCTGCGGGAGAGCGGAGGGCTCCATAGCCCTTCTCAGCTTCTCCTTGTTTTCTCTCCTCGTTCGGTTTTCCACACAGGCCACTATCCTCATGGCACGCGCTCACACGCACGTACATTCGAGTACTTGCTTTTTTTATAAAAAAAATAGGGGTAGAGATATCAACCCGGAAGCCGTTAAGGTTAGGTATGCCTCCGGAACGATGGGTATGTTTTTATTCAGGCAGTTTTCCAGGTCCTTTCATTTTTTTCCCTCCGAGAAGAAGCTCTCAATAAAAGACATTCTGAAGTTACTGCTCACAAATTCGTACTCGTACATTTCGCGATAGCATTTTTGATTTCCTCGTTGTTCAGGAGAAGGAGATATGTGCAAGTTTCTGCATACCGAATTTTTTATGATGCTGAATAGTGTATTGAGAGTTGTGAAACGGTACGTTTATTGTGTTTTCGAGGATCAATCGCGTCTGATCTGTCGTACGCTTTTCTACTTTTCAATCCCGCGTCGCAGCGTACATATGTGAAGCACGGGAAAAGCGAAGGAGGAGATATGGATTCGTTGGATGATTCGTTTAGATGGGAAAACTATTTTCTACGAAATTTCACTGCCTTGGAATATTTTTTCTCAAGATGCTTGATATGGTTGAAGAGGGAGCGTATTCGGCGCAGTGCTTCGTGTGAGCAGATGAACAGGTTTTATTCCGATTGGAAGAAATTTGATTTTTCTCAGTTGACATGGGTAAACGTGGTACAAATTGAATGAGAAGTTGATGTTATTTGTTTGAAGGAAGAAAAAGTGATGAGAAGTTGTTTAGAAATTAGAATTTTTTGATAAGTCCATTAAAATTCTTTAGATTAAATTGACTTCAAATAAAATTGGAACGAAATTTTCTAAGAAAACTCTATTATTTTATCTACTACTTAATAGAAAAGCCTGGACTATTACAGAAACAATGTTTCCTCCCACCATTTATGCATGTCTTCATCAGTATATTAGATGAAAAAAATTCTTGGAGGAGTGCCTACGAGATCCGATGTCTTTTCCAAATATAGACGGACTTGATTCAATGACTAAAAGTGATGACAAGTTTTCTAGTAATCAAAATGTTCTGATGAGTATGTTAAGATTATTCCAATGGAATTGTTTGTCAATAAAATAGGAATATCCCCGAAGAAAACGCTGTCATTGCATCAAGCATGGAATCGAAAAACCGGAGTACCACAGAGACAATGTTTTCAATGAGCTCTCTGTATTCCACTCTATCTCGTTTACATGTTTTCAGCAGTCTACCAGGTCCAGAATCGTCTTGGGGGAGTTGCTACGAGTATTCGATGCCCTTTCACCTTCCTTTGTTGTGAATCCCACGCAAATTCAATGGGATTCACGCCTTCACTCAAGAAAAGAGTAATAAAGAGCAGTCATCATCAAAATCTCTGCAGTCAAATTACCCTGCAATTAAATAGTAATGAATATCTCCTGTGAAAACTCTATTATTTCATTAAGCGAGAAATCGAAAAACGAGAATACCACAGAGATAATGTTCTCCACAGGAGCTCGGTATATTCCCTCCCATCTCGTATCCATGTCTTCACCAGTATACCAGGTCAAGAAGTCTTGAGGGAGTTGCTATGAGAATCCCAAACCCCGTCACGGGCACTGCTCAAACACCGAGGGACTTGATTCAATAAATGAAAGTGATGACAAGTGTTCAAGCAACTAAAATGTGCTGATGAGTGCCCCGATTGCTCGAATCGAATTACGTTCCACTGAAATAGTAATGAAATTCCCGAAGGAAACGGTATCATTTCATCAAGCAAGGAATCGAAAAACCAGAGTACCGCAGAGACAATGTTCTCCACATGAGCTCTCTGTATTCCTTCTCATCTCGTATACATGTCTTCACCAATATCCCAGGTCCAGAAAAGCCTTGAGGGAGATGCCACGAGTATTCGATGCCCTTTACCCCTCTCCACCGCAAGTAACACGCAAACACAGTGGGATTCACGCCCTCACCCAGAATGTCTATACACTGGTACGATGCAGGCACTGAAATAACCCCGGCTAGATAGACACAAGTCTCTAGAGAGCATCTCGAAAGTGTTCCTTCCTCTCTGCCTTCTCCTCCTAGCTGTCTTCATTCTCTATTTTGCTACAAGTTGATCGATAGAGCAAAACTGGAAGTAACGGTTGAATGAGATATCGGTGATTGATCAACCGAGGAATGAAGATTAATACATTTTCCCTTGTTAAACCAACATATTCCCCATTGGAATTGGGAATCATTATGGCCAGACAATGTATCAGGTTTCTTGAGTATTAAATTGGAGATCAGATGCTGTATCCACGGGCCATTCACATAAATTTAACGTTTCTGTGAGGGGAAGAGCATCCTCAGAGCATTCACCCATCCCTGGGCAGTGGCCACAATCCAATAGCTTATCATCAGGTTCAGGTGGTCCGACGGCTCATAAAATTAGGCCTAATCCACCAAAAATCCACCTCCAAGTGTCCATGGAATTTAGCGAATCCATCAGAATTCTTCAGTCCTTAATTCATACAAACTTCTCTGTCTTTACAAATCTTCTGAAAGTTGCGAATGTACTCAGAGTCGCGTCGGGAGCGAAATTGGCTGAGGGAAACTTTGGATGAAAGTTCCTTTGGATTAATTCGTGAGGAACTTATGGGGTTCAAGGTGGGACGTCTCGTGTTTACCTAATCCAGCGATTACATTTTCGAATCTATTAGCCGCAGGATGAAATTGACGTTCTCAACGGTGGAATGGGTGTGTTTAATGTAGACAGTAGTGAATACCAGCTAGATTGGTATAATAATACCAATATGGTCATATTACTCCTCCAAGGATCACGGGTACCCGTATTTGTGGGGTTAATCTCTGGTGTATGAAACCTCAAAACTATTCCCAGTTGATTAAAGAAGTTATTCGTTTAATATCACCAGTTAACACGTCCATTCACCTGGTTTCATCGGCAGTTGGTGGAGTCAATATCCTTCGTTATCATATTTCGAGATTATGGGGTTAACTGTGAACGATGCTGTCGTTAAAAAGCCAGGAAGTGAGATTATCGAAATTCCCAGAATGACCTAATAACGGAACATTGGCCCTTCGAATGAATGAAGTCACATCCCACCCAGCTCCTCATGATGGACAGACAAGAGAGACGAACCCGTCAAATGCATATATCATCACGCTGCTGTTTGTGTGAGCACGAATGTGCATTAATCGTCATACACTTTCCTCTCTTTTTAAAATTCTGTCTCACTCTCTCAACCAGCCATTTCCCTCATTCCTCGAAAACTAAATTCTTTTACCCGTGCGGTTGACGCTCGCGTGACACTCGGTAGTTCATTTCAGTTCATCCATCGAGTGTGTATATTACGTTTTTGCGGTAAATACGAGTAACAGCAGTCCTCCAAGTCAACCCTTATTTATTATCACATTTTTCTCCATTCTCTTTCCACCCCATCCTTTCGTAAACCAATAGTTACGGATATTAAGCATCCATTTTGCACCATCCTCCATCAATTCGATTGGATACGATATTTGTTAAGAGAGCACAGCAGTCCAGAAGTTGCTAACAAAACGAAGAATTCCGAGTGCATCCACCAGCACACATCGACACAGTTTCGACCTCAAAGTTAAATTGACCAGCACCACTTGGCCAGAAAAGGGTGGTATGAGTCTAACATAATTGCTTTCCGGTTTAGCCTCCATCTTTCTCACTCATCCCCCCCAAAAACTCCGGACCCTTCTTGATTACCTCCACTTGCACCGGTTCGACTGAAGGATGTGCTCGTTGTATACAGTGGAAGGGGATAGAATTTCGTAGGGTTGTGTTGCATCTTTC